GGGGCCCGGACAGAGCCTCAGCGCCTACAGCTGGCGGGAGATCCAGAGACACAACCAGGAGGCCGACCAGTGGCTGGTGATCAACCGCAAGGTCTACAACGTGACTGACTGGGCCCCCCAGCATCCAGGTGGGCCCCGGGTCCTCAACCACTGTGCGGGGAGGACGCGGCGGTAAGGAAGGCCAGGCTCTGCCCTCCCTCTGTGCCAGCTGCGGGGCGGCTGGCACCTTGGCTCTCTCCCCAAAAGCATGTCGAGTATGTGCCCAGGCTCCACAATGGCTCATCCCCTCGCTGACCAAGTGTTCGGGATTCCTGGCCAGCAAGCATTTGGAAGCAGCTTAAGCCTCAAGGTCTGTTTGGGATGAGCTTATATGCTGAGAGTGGATACTGTTTGTGGATCCTGGGTTCCCTCTTGTTCTTGGTGTTTTGTTTTGAAGTGGAGTCACTGTTTTGTAAGAAGAAAGTTACAAATAGGTAAATAAAATCGGGGGGAAATATATATATATATTTTTATATATATACACCCAAGTATAAATTTCTCAGACTTTTCTATTTGGAGTGTTTAAAAGAAAGCCAGTGATTCATTTGTTAAGCATCGAAATGTTGTTAATAACAATGGTGAAAGCCTAAAATTCCATAGGCTCTTAGACTCTGCAGAGCTCTTTTGCATCCTGCAGCTCGTTCAGGCTCATACAGGTGATACAACCCACTCTTACAGAAGAAGGAATTAAAATCAGAGAGGATAACTGCCTGGCCCAAGGTCACCCGACAGCAGAGCTCAGATTCAAAACCCTTATCTTTCTTCACTTCCAGTCTTTCCACTTCTCCTCATGGCTTCCCCTCTGCACCCCCCCCCACCAAAACAGCAAAGAAAAAAAAAATAGTGTAACTGGGTGCCTAGAACACCCTAGAAACATTCAAATGCATCACCTCACTTAAACCTCACCACGAGGAAGGTAATCTCCGTATCACAGATGAGAAAGGGGAGGTTCAGAGAGACAAACAATGCACACAGCCAGCAAGTGATGCTGCCCAATTTTGAAATCACGTAGGTTTTTGACCATAAAGCCCTTCGTAGCTGAGTCCTTACAGATAAAATTTCCATTTAACATTTGATAGGAAGGTTACTCGAACCCTTAAATGCATTTAGGAAGCCCTTTTAAAGTATTCTATAAGAGGTTGTTTTATACCAATCAGGAATTTTATAGTTCACATTATACAGATGAAGAAATGAGAGCAAAAGGGTCTAACTAACCCAAAATCAGAAAATTAACATGTGGAGCAGAAATTGGAACCCAGGTGTTTTTTTCTTACTTCTTTGTTGCCTTGTTGGTTTCACAGTTTAGTATATAAGTTCTCCAGCTGGTTTTAAAGTATAGAGTTGAAAACGTTGTTTAACTAAGAATCACTCTATAAATGGTGTTAATAATAACAAAATATGCAAGCGTCTGGCAAGTTTTCGGTTAAGCACGATTTTGTCTTTTGGTACTTTCAACACCTTTTTTCCTCAATTTCTCATCTCCCTTCTCAAATCACGCTCTTCCTCTAGCAGCTTCCAATCTGGATTCTGCAGTCAGGTGAAAACATTTCTGAACATACCTTGCTACTTCCCACCACTTCCATCAGACATAATATTTTTTTAAACTAAGTTCAACCTTTTCTTGAGAAAATGAGCTGTGCTTGTAGCAAGGGGCCAGAGTATCCTGTGTGTCGGGAAGGTAGATGCTGGGTAGGAATCCAAAGAGCTGAGGGTAGAAGAAGCGAGGTGGGAAAAGTGTGTACAAGAATAGCAGGAGAGGGTAACAAAAATAAAATGAAAAAAATACTACGGATTCCCAGCTAGCCCATCCCCTCATTCCCACAACTCAGAGAAAATATGGATGATGCTTTTCTAACACAAAAGTCATAGAACAAGCTCAGAGAAAATCATGGATAGACTGTAAGCTTGAGGTAGCTCGGGTGATACATCTGTAATTTGCCGATAGTTTTTACCTCCCCAAAGTTAGGAAAAGACCATGATTCTGATTCAGTTCTAGCCAACAAGGAGAACTGATTAATAAAGCAGAAACCATCAGAACCCTAGAGGAAAATATCCATGCATATCCTGAGAATATTCATTCATCTCCCGAGAATGAAAATCCTGAGAGTGGTCAGTCACGGACCTTAGACGTTAGGAAAGTAAATCCAAAAAATGTTCAGAGAAAATATTGTCCAAGGAAAGGTGGCTCGAGAAGACTGGGAGGATGCCAGAAAATTCCGAAACCACAGTCCATGGCTACTCGGAGTGGGGAGAGCCTGGGCCTTGGGGTCCGTCATATGAACCCGGGAAAGTCATCGGAATGCTGTGAGCTTCCTCTCGGCCATCTGCAAAGCGCGGGTGACATTCCCATCTAACCGCAGAGGTGTGATTCGTACTTTGTTTACTACCAGCTTAGAGGTCCTGATCGTATTTGGTGCCATCTGATCGGGAACAGAGGGAACGTGGTGGAGGGCACCACGCTCTCTGGGGAAGGGGGCAGAACAAAGTCAGACGACTTGACGTCCAGACTCACTCCTCAGCTTCAGAAGTCTTTGCAGCTTATACCCTGAAAGGGAAAAGTGGACCCAAATACGGTCTCTTTGTGCGCCCTGGACCC